TGTTTAATTCTTCCTATGAAGGGTTTCGCCCTTTTATATTAGAAAGTGGGGAAAGGTTGTATTTACAAAAATATTTTAATTTTGATAATGTCAAGAGACCCTTCGGAGAGGTAGACTTACCATTTGGCATTTATTTTTATTCTTCTCAACCAGTAGATTATCAGCAAGGAATAGAGCAGATCATTTTTTTCTCCAAAGAAAATCAACAAGATAAAAGAAAAAACTTGCTGGTTTCTATACAAAAAGACAGCAACAATTTTTCGGTAGTAGACAATGAAGAAGAGTTAAAAAGTTTTAAACTAATTCAAGGAAATTTTGATTATAAATTTCGCACCGGTGTCTCTGTGACTAGGAAAGATATTTGCCGCTTTTTCTATGAAAAAAAGCGTTTGTCTATAACTTCTTACTTTATTAGAAACCAGAAAGGCAAAAAAATTAAAATAAGCGAAAATTTATCTCCTTCAACAGAATTAGAAAATGAAGTGATGCGTCCTTACATAACTACTTCTAATCTCTCTCTGTTTAAAAAGAATGAAAAAGAAATCGAATGAACTTTCTTTCCTTATGACATACAAAAAAGAGAAAAGCAGCCGTTAACCATTAACAAAATTATAAATGCTTGACCGAAGTTGTCTGACTATATTCACCAAATTAAAAGGTTGCTAAGTCAAAAAAGTCAATACTCCCAAAGAGTCCAAAACGTTTCAGAAAAATATGGCTTATTAAGAATAGGCGAGTACACTTATGCGGAGCATTTTGTTTGTTGCCGGGATAACACTAAATGAGTAGCAAGTTATTTCAGCAAAATAAATACTCCGTGACAAGAAAGATAAAACTCCTTTATTTGACAGTCATGTTAAGTATATTTCCCAGGACAAGAAAGGCAATTTTATTTCCCAAGATGAAGCATATTACATAACAGCAATTTTAAACGCTCCTATAGTTAAGAAATTTATAGAGTCTACTAATGTGGCACGAAATTACTCCTTTGCTGATATTTCTATTTTTTGCCCTAAATACGACGAAAAAAATGTATTGAGTTTGGCTTTGAAAAACATAACTTATCAGATAATAGAGTTAAAAAAAGACTTCGATTTCTGCTTAATGGAAGAGTTAAACAAAATTTATCTCCAATTTTGTCGAGCGGGAAGAGAAAAAGCACGATATTAAAAAATGCAAAATAACTGCCCGCTAATTTTGTCTAGTTTCTAGTATTCAAGGGGGTTTTTTGAATAAAGAACTGACATATTTTTCGCAATAATATAACAACAGCGATTTTTTTACTTCCGAATAATTCTCGATTTTTGCCAAGAAATTAATTTTGATAAATAATAAAACTAAAAATATTATATGAATATTTATTACCGTCAGGAACTACCTTATAAACTTAATGATTTGGAGCCGATTATTAGTTCCCAAACTATGTATTATCATTATGAGGTTTTGCATAAAAATTACGAGATTAAATTACTGGAAACGATAGAGGGGAAGGGATTAGAATTTTCTTCTTTAGCAGAATTAATGACTAACCTAAATAAGTTGCCCGCAGCATTAAAAGAGGATGTGCGTTTTTTTGGGGGAGGATTGATTAACCACAACTTTTTCTTCGCTCATCTTGCTAGATTTGAGCCGCAGCCAAAAAAGACTGAACCCGGAAAAAAAATAACTCCGGCCTTGTTAAACCTTATCCAAAAATATTTCGTTAGTTGAGAAAATTTAAAAAAGGAATTAGTGAAAAATGCCTTGAAAATTCGGGGAAGTGGTTGGACTTGACTAGTTGTTGACAAAAATAAACAATTAAGTATCGTCAACACTGCCAACCAAGATGGACCTTGGCCGCTTAATTTATTTCCTTTAATAGCCATTGATGTTTGAGAACACGCCTATTTTTTGGATTACGGAACCAATCGTCAAGAATACGTAGAAAAATTACTGAACAACCTTTTAAATTGGGAATATATTAACCAAATTTATACAGAAAAATTTGGGAGGGAATAATTACCACCACTCTTTACTTGTTGTTCTGGACGGATAGTTTTTTTTTTTTTTTTTTTTTTTTGAAGAAACTTTGTGAGGTTTCCGTCTGCTAAAATCATTTAATTCCCTGTGGTAATTTTTTTTCTTTTCTTCGTTAATTTCTTTCTCGTCTTTGCCAACCAAACAATAAACCACAAAACCCCCGGCAGCCGCAATAACTATCCCAACTATGCCCCAAAATCAATAATTCGGCGGAGCTTCGGGGGGAGGAGGAAATTTGTTACTGTTTTGTGGGGTTAACGGGGCGGGATTAGGAACCTCTGCAATGCGGACAGCATCTTTATTAAACATCCTGCTAAAACTACTTGCTTCACCAGAGGCTTTCCTTGCATAGTTACGAAACAACTCAAAATATTCTTGGTATTCTGCATCGTCTAACAACCTTTCAAGCTCAACTTGGTCAAGAGAAAGGCGAAGTGAGTCGTTAACCTCAACTATTTTACGAAGTTGATTATTAAAGTCGGCCAGAATGTGGCAAGCATAACGCTCGACTTCTGGTCAAGTTTTTTTATTATTTAATTGATTTTCTCAATCGTCATGCTTCAATTTACAGTCTGCATACCTTTTTTTATCTTTCTTATAGTTTTTATCTTGATTATAATAATAAAAATCTTTTTTTATTTGTTTAATCCAAAAATCTTTTACTTTTTGGACAAATTTTTGGTCTTTCATGATTATATTTGGTTTAGTAAGTAATATTTTTCTTAATTCGCCCAATGGCAAAAGTATTATATGTTATATTAAGAGAGAGAGAGAGAGAGAGAGAGAGAAGAAAATACTTTCTCAAAGACTTTGAGAATGAAATTGCCGACCTCCATCCATTTTTGGTAGATTTCTTTTCAGATATTTTTCCTGGCTTGGTCCTTTTGGAAGACGAGTGGACGATACCCGAAAATAAATCCTTCATCACTAATGTAGGAGTTTTTTCTTTCCAACTTCGTCCTTGAGAGTGAGGAACTTTCTTATTTCAATGTCGATTAGAATTTGAGCCTCCGATATAAGTTTCATCAATCTCCACAGAACCTCCCAGCATATCTTTAATGAAGAGAGTTTGTTCTAAATTTTTCCGTAGACTATCTAATAATCATCAAGCCGACTTTTGCGTAATACCAATATCCTTACCTAGTTGACAAGAGGAAACACCTTTTTTGCGAGATAAGAAAATGTGTAGAGCCATAATTCACTTTTTCAATGGAAGTTTAGTATGAGCCAGTATTGTTCCTGTTTTTACATTAAAGAACTTACCAGTATTTTTATATTTATATTGGTTATTAGCACATTTATAAACTTTGGAACTAGGAGCAAAAGGTGAAATTGCCCCTCCATCTCATCTATGTTTTTAGAAATAAGCAATACAATGCTGTTCGGTAGGGAATATCTCCAACAAAAAACTAATTATACTTGCAAATTTTGGCATACATTATATTTTAGTGTAAAATTGTATGTAATTGCCTAATTTTATATTATACAATATTTTTCTCTTGACTAAAAACTATAATGAATAATAGTGATATTAAAATTAGTTCTCAAAACCAAAAAAGAGTTAGGCTGAAAAAAAAATCAACAAAACTAGCCTTATTCCGATAAAGCGTGAAATTTCTTCCTCCTTTCCTCAGCTTCTCTTCTCTTTTCCTTGAAGACTTCTCGTAACCGTTGAACGTGATTTTTTTTTAACTCACTAACTAAACTTTCCGGTTTATCAATTACGCGAGCCAATTCCGGAATAGTGTATTCACGATTTTGTACTTTCATCGGTTTTTTTTCTGCCTTAATCAACAACGCATTAACTTTTTCGGCTTCTTGCCGACTAATAATAGTTCCGACTGGATAATCGCTGTCGCCACTAGCGGTGATTTTAACTTCCTTGAATAAATTAAAAAAGTCCAAATATTTTTTGACAATTATTAAGACTTGGTCTTTGGCTATTTCTTGGATAATTTTCTGTTTTTGGTCTTGGAGTTTGGTCCTTTTTTTTCTCATTTTTTCCTTCTCTGCTGCTTTTCTTTCAGTTTTTACCAAGACTTCGGTTATTTTACTCCGGTTTGTCCGTCAATCATTATTATGGCTCCGTCCAAAACTCGTAAACACCTCTCGACTTCGGCTGTAAAGTCAATGTGTCCGGGGGTATCAATAATATTAATTTGACAATGTTGCCAAAAAACCGTAATGGCCGCAGAAAAAATGGTAATTCCCCGCTCTTTTTCTTGTCAGTAGAAGTCCGTTTTGGTGTCTCCCTTATCAACTTCACCAATTTTGTGAGTTGTGCCGGTCTGATAAAGTATCCGTTCGGTAGTAGTAGTTTTGCCATGGTCAATATGTCCGGTAATCCCGATGTTACGAATGTCTTGCAGTTCTGGCATATAGTATAATATTTTTTGGCAATTATATAAGCAATTACACTAAAAAAATTTTGACTTTTTATTACTCAGGCAAGAAAATTGTCCTTTTCGATTTTTTTTTTTTTAAAATTATTTAAAGTAATTTAGTTAAAACTAAAAGCAGAAAATAATTTTACCTGATGTAGTAATACCTAGTATTTTTAGACGGGAAGGGTGGAAAAAAAATCCCAAAAAAAAGTAGTATGAAAATTATCGTCGGTTTAGGTAATCCCGGTCCAGAATACGAAAATACTAGGCATAATTTAGGTTTTTGGGTGGTTGATAACTTGGCCCAAA